ACTATTTGACGTTCGGAGGCGACGTGAAACTATGGGTCCCTCCATTTGTGTAACAACATCAGGATAAAGACGACAAATTGGAGAAGCCGAGCGAAACACTAAGCATAAGTGTAAGCGCCAAATTAATATTATTATTATGTGTTAACATAAAGGAAATACAAAAAAAACACTAATGTGAATAAGTAAAGTTTATTATGTCTCTTTTTTCATTTAGCCCGGTCAAGTTAAACATTCATGGTTACAATAATTCGCATAAAGCTGAAAATTGGTACGAATGTTGCAAATATTATTAAAAATTCTATTCAAGGTCAAAAGTCACATACATTTATTTTTGCATTTTTCAGCAAAATGGTACGGTTTATCACAAAACTAGGTAGGACAAAAGTGTAGACTATGCAATTATCTTTAAAAACTGTTATACAATTTTTGTTATGAGATATATGTAGCTATTCAAAAAATTGCATTTTCCATAATATGCACAATTTACACTGTACTTGTAGGGTATTCTGTTTTGGGGTGTTTTTAAACGTGGTTTTCCCCGGTAGGCCTACTCCACGCCTTATTGTAGTCCTGTTTAACTAAATAATATTGCATGAAATAAAAAGGTACCATTCATCTAATTGATAATTACACTAATTGACAAGAAATCCCACCTGTGGAACTACGCCCTCTCTTCTTATGCATGTAAAATTTTCTGCTGAATCTTAATATGAAGTCAAAATATCATAAACTATAATTGTTTTTGAGATATATCCACATTACGGTTTTTCGGAGATGTTAAAAAGTGCACCACTTAATTGCATATTTTTTTTTATATAGCCGGCAAATCTTAAATTTCTCTACAATAGTGAAGCTTATTAAATCTATTACCCTCTACGTAAACCATATTTTCCAACCGAATTAGTAGTTTAGGAGCAAATCATTGATTCATCAACAATTTTGAATAATAAAAAATATTTTAAAAATTACTGGGAACTTTTGAATTATTGTAAGCTTACCCCTATTTAGGGCCGTTTTCTCAAGTAACCTGCAACTTCAAAGCTCACTTTATATTTAAAGGCTGTATTAAAATTTATGATTGTGTCTAAAGTAAAGCACTTTATTATCGGTTTTAAATTGGTTTACAACCAAGAAACTTAAATACGTCAAAAACAGATAATAGAAATGCTTAACTTTTGACATAGCTTTATTTTAAAGTTAAAGGTTACTTTAGAAAACGGCCTTTAATGAGCCAACTTTACTAGGCTAAGTACGCAAAACTTTAGTTGCAAACAAGCATTGCGTCATCGATTCGACTATGCATGATTTTCCACGGTTAAAGGCACAAAGCATTTTTTTAAAAGCGCCCTGTGTTAGATAAACACACATTACGAAAATAATAATTTGTTAAAACAGGTACATATTTACAATTTATTTGAATACCACGGTACCCTGGAAATAATTTCAACCCTCAAGTTGCTTTCCTTCTTCCTGTTGCTACTATTTCGGGGGACCTCACTGAACATTTTCCAAAAAAGAGAGCAAAACCCGTCGGGCGCTTTTTTCTATGGTAACTTTTACTAATTCAAATTTTACACAGGCCAACAAAAATTAAAAAAAAATGTGTTTTCTAAAATGTTAAAGCTGTTTTCGATATCCNGAACAACCAACCAAACAAAAATTAAAAAAAAATGTGTTTTCTAAAATGTTAAAGCTGTTTTCGATATCCTTTTTTGTGCTGATTACGAATATGTAAGTATAAAGTTTCCAACAGCTTTAGANAAAACCCGTCGGGCGCTTTTTTCTATGGTAACTTTTACTAATTCAAATTTTACACAGGCCAACAAAAATTAAAAAAAAATGTGTTTTCTAAAATGTTAAAGCTGTTTTCGATATCCTCTTTTGTGCTGATTACGAATATGTAAGTATAAAGTTTCCAACAGCTTTAGATTTTGATAAAAACGTGGTCAAAATATCAAAAAATCGCGTTTTTTGAAATATTTGAAAAGCTCCAACAAAAATAATAAAAGGTGATAGAACCTTCCAATTGAGCTTGGATTAAAGCTAGGACTCTCGACTACTATCCCTGATAATACCATTCGTGCACATTGACGTCATGGTCACTTATAGTCATTTATTGAACAAAAAACTTCGATAAAATCAGTTTTTGCTATTCAACAAATGACTATAAGTGACCATCAAGTCAAGGTGCACGAATGGTATTTTCAGGGATAGTAGCCGAGAATTTTAACTTTAATTCAAGCCCAATTGGAAGGTTCTGTCACCTTTGTTTTTTTTTATTAGAGCTTCTCAAATATTGCAAAAAACGCGATTTTTTTANATTTTAGCTTTAATTCAAGCCCAATTGGTTCTGTCACCTTTGTTTTTTTTTTATTAGAGCTTCTCAAATATTGCAAAAAACGCGATTTTTTTATATTTTGACCACGTTTTTCTCAAAATCTAAAACTGATGGAAACTTTGTACTTACAGATTCGTAATCAGAACAAAAAAGGCTATCGAAAACAGCTTTAACATTTTAGGAAACAAAATTTTTTCAAATTTTCGTTGGCTTGTGTTATATTTGAATTAGTAAAAGTTACCACAGAAAAAAGCGCCCGACGGATTTTGCTCTCTGTTTTTGTAAAAGGTTAAGTGAGGTCCCCGGAAATAATAGCAACAGGAATCGGCGAAGGGAAGCCACTTGAGGGTTGAAATTGTTTCCAGGGTACCGTGATACTGTCGTAGCTCAAAAACGAAACCAAAACTCGAGAAAAACAGCTTGAAGTTTTGAATTTACATACTCCTATGGCAAAAATTAAAACATATTTTGTTCTAGTTGCTACTGGTTATCGGTACAGCTATGAAATTTTAACACAATATAGAAGGACACTTCTGCATACATACCACCTCGATTTTGTATTGTTTTGGATCATGACAATATCGAAGTAAATGAGCAACATATAAGTTTCCCTTGGAGTAAAAATTAAATTGCTTTTATTTTTTTAAACAAACAAAAGTACAAAAACATTTTCCTTAACCCTGAGATTTTTATGGGAAACCCGGAGCCTCGCGATTCTATCGGAAGCTTCTGAATCTCAGGGAGAAAAATTCATTCTGGGAGCATTGTTTTCCACTAAATGTTTTTCAAATACTAACTCACATTAATTACTTCATTGCCTTTGCAGGTTATGGAACATTGGTTAGGCTATGAAATTTCGCTACGCCTACTCATCTCAGCACTGCTGATTCCTTTAATTCTTCTCTCATGGATACCAAATCTGAAGTATCTGGCACCCGTCTCCATGGTGGCTAATTTGTTTATGGGTCTTGGATTGGGCATAACTTTCTATTATCTGGTTAGTGATTTGCCTCCGATAACAACCCGTGAGTTCGCGAAAGTCTCCACATTGCCAGCTTTCTTCGCCATCACCATATTCGCCATGGAGGCAATCGGTGTTGTAATGCCATTGGAGAATAACATGGAAAAACCACGTCACTTCCTCGGAATCTGCGGAGTGCTGAGTCAGGGCATGTCCGGTGTTACTTTGATCTACATGGCGCTCGGTTTTCTGGGCTACTTGCGTTATGGTACAAGTACAGAAGAAAGTATTACACTGAATTTGCCGGTGCATGAATGGTGAGTACAATATGCAGTGTTGCCAGAATTTTTCCAGAGAAAAGGCTAAACGGCCAAGAAAGCAAAGTTGAAAGAATTATAAATCAATAATTGATTTCTAGCAAAAATACATAAACCAACAATCTGAAGCCATAAACTAACAATTTATATATTTATATATATTATATTTTTTATATATTTATATATATATTATATTTTTTAGCCTTTATAATGATTTTCTAACAGTACCAGTGTTTAAAGAGCATTAGTTGATACTTCTACCATTTAAAAACTACTTTTGTTATTTCCACAACAATTTTTTAATTACAAT